TTTTGGCGTTTGATTGTGTGTGTATGCATACGCAATTGCACAAAACAATGAGTGTTGCGTCAGCCTACGTCCTATGCATCGAAAACCAACTTTTCTATGTTATAATCCAAAACAGAACATTGGATATTGAAAAAAGGAATAAAATGAGCCGCTATAGGTATAAAAACGATTCGCTGGTACTAAGGTTGACAGCGATAGCATAGACTATAAAGTAGAGAGACAAGGATGCAAGTAATAGTCAGGTGGATGAGTGATAACCAACCATTATTTTGGCGTGAGATTGCGTGTTGTGTATATGCATACGCAATTGCAATTGGGATAGAAATATGTGTGTGTAATTGCAATTGCAATTGCAATTGCAATTGCAATTGCAATTTGGATAGAAATATGCCTGTGTGGAAGTAGGAATGAATCGATACTGACGCGCAATAGCGTCAAAATCGATGATCGCGACTCCCGGTAATCTCCCGCCACTTTTTAATTGTCGGGATTGTCCCGAAAGTCGGGACAAAGCCGGGAGTCGCGCAAGACTCCCGGTTTTCTCGCGGATTCTCATTTTGTGGGCGGATCTCCGGCGGGACTCAACTGCGAATGTCTGAGAACGTAGCGCGCGGGTCGCGGTGTTGGCCATTAATACGCGCGCGCAGCACGCTTCAACTATCTGAGTAGGCTAACTTTTACTCTCAGATAGAAGTGCGCAAAGATACTTTAATTCTTTCTAGCCACGATATCATCTTTGATATAAAGTTAAAAGAAGGTAATCAAACTTGTCTTGACATTACTATGTCGCAGTGGTCTCAAGGAAAAATTTGTGCAATTTTCAATTTTTCGCTTCTCTCTCACTTTTCGTTTCTAGATGTCATGTTATCTTTTTTACAGCCCAAATTCCGCGTAATTCATCAAACTTTGAATTGACCAAAAAATAGGAGTTATAACTTCGCGTGTCAGAATATCTGCAAGCCGGACAGAACTTTTAGAACAACCTAGTACTCGGGATAGCGATTATTTGGCAAAAACTGTTTGCAATTCATACATCCATATCCGAACACACAACCATTCTCAAAAATACATCTAAATGGAGCATTTCCTTGAATCAAAATTGAAGGTTCTACCAATAGCAGCAGAGTTCAGTAAAGTATCAGAAAAAATGGATGAATCCAAATGATTGGCAAGATATGGGCGTAAAAGGAGGATTCTTCCGTGGGGAACAAAGAAGTAGAGGGAGACGCGAGCAAAGAGAGCCTTGCTGAACAAAAAACAAGCGCAATAAAATACAAACCAATCCCTTCTAAGGGCCGCATGCACTAACCTCCCCGCTGGGGAGGGGATGTTAGTGCATGCGGCCCTAAGGAGTATTGTGAATGCTATCAGGTTACTACGGTGTGCCGGAGCTGCGCCAGGGCAGTGCCGATGCTATGCTAGCACCCTGCTGAGTGCCACGTGCATGCGCCTTGTACTGATCGGTCAAAGCTAAATCATGGCGCTAGCACGGTGCTGGTACGGGCAACTCCGGAGCAGCCCTACCTAATCGCAGGATAAGGTTTTTAATGTCATTTTTTTATTGCAAATATTTTTCCCAATCAACATAATGTATTGATACAAATGCCACGTAAGACCATCATATTTCTCTGAATTTTAGTTGTGGATCCAAAATATTAGTCCACCTGTGCCAGTTAGCCAGCTAGTAGTTACCTGTAATTGCCTTAGGATAAAGAAGCTGACGAGCAATTTGATTCTCATGCGCCCTTTAACTCTCGATCCTAATAGTTTGAGCAAGGGCTCGACATCACTGGGCGCTTACAAGAATAAATAATAAGACACAAGAAAAGAAAATCCAAAGGTTTTGCATCTTTGATTTGAATTCGCTCCTCAATCAATAAATGTCCCTCGGAAATTTTGGCCGCTTATATACTGATTTCTTGACCTAAGACCAGTGCAGGTTGAAAACCCACGCTGCAATTTCGATAACTAGGACCCAGCGCGAGGTGGCACTGTAAATTTTTTTAACGCACTGCTCTTGACAACGCGGGAGTTTAAGAAATATTGCTTGTAAAAAAAGGCTAAAAATCTGCAGCGAGCGTTGAGTGGACGTAAGTAAAGAGAAGGTGAGGAAAATCGGAGATGGAAGAGTGCATACTGTAGGGCCGTAGAAGCGGAGGAAACATAACTTTGGTTGAGGCGAGTACTCATAGGTGGAGCTTGAATTTATACGTAGATTTATGCAAATGTTTCGAAAATTACGTAGGAAGGAGAAAAAGTATGACTTTCCTGAGGTTCTAGGTTGTGCGGGAGCAACCCAAAATTGAAAAAAGCTCATTTGAACATAGTCGTCGTCTCGAAGGCACACGAATTTTGGTGGCACACTATTGCTTTTGCATTTCATACAAAGTGAATCTTTAACTTGTGATCGTGATTTAACATATTGAAGTCGAGTGTACAGTCCTGTGCACTAATCGTGTTTGTGACCTGTTAATTACCCGTTATAGGTAGAATAATTTTAAAGTTTATAATTTGGTCTTACTACTTGTGAAAATAAAAGTCCTTGCTAATATTCTGTCAAAATTGGGAAACTACCCCTTGAAGGCAGCGTACAGGCAAATTTGGACATATGGGGATTTCACGTGGACAGTAATTTTGGGACCCTAGTTGAGACACTGCTCCATCGGAAGCTCAGATGGTGTTCTAACGGCTGAGATATTCGCCTCGAAACTAAACCCCAGGCTCGTAATTCGCATGGATTCATGGCGCGACATATCAGTTTCGCGTGGGTCCGCGCGCGAAAGCATGCAAAACGATGCAAATCTTCCAATAACACGAACCCGGGGTCCACTTTGGAGGTGTAAATCTCAGCTTTGATGAGTCATTTGCGCTGCCGCTTAGGCCGTGCCTTAGTTAGCCCCAAAATTAGTCCACGTAAAATCCTCATAGGTCCAGATTCATCTGGACGCCTTTAAAACTATGCGTCCCTCTCTTGCCTTCCCTTCATAAAAGGACGTCCATTGTGTGAAAGCTGAGTTATTTTCAAAAAAAAGTTATAACATTTTGTATCAGAAGATCTGCAAATCGGACAAGAATCAAGAAGGCATTTTGCCTACCTTTAGGCATTTTGTAAAGCTGGCTTTGGCTTGTATTCAATATTTGAAGCGAATGCCCGACTGCTCTTTAATACTATAGGATCAAGCAAAGAATTTTAGCCAACGAAAGAACTTTTATGGTAAAGTGCAGAATTTATACTTACATTTAGCGACTATAACTAGTCTAGTGCAAGTGTTTTCAAGTTGTTTCGTTCTTTTTTGACGTAAATTATAGATTCTTCAGATTATAGGGTAACTATTGTTTAGATTATAGTTCTTGAAAACTTGAAAACAGTGAGGAGATGAACGATTGCTCACAAATAAGGTGCGATTGTCCGTCCCTTCAAATTTTCGATGATAGGATAGTCTACTTTTAAAATGTTGCACTTTCTGTTATGGCCATCCAAGTGGCACAGAATTATCGATGATTTTGGTTCTGGGGATAGTGATGGGTCCTACCATGGTTTGAATGGCGCCAAGTGATGGCTTTTGTTTAGCTAGTTCCAATTATTCCTTGAAACATTTCAAGAAGAAGCCCAAGCAAATATATTTTGAGCTTCAAAGCCATAATAAAAATATCAGTTTGGTGTTACAAAACTTGAGCTGAAATGGCATCTTAGTTGCAAAGTACACCATCGTAGCATCCGCTTTCACATTGAGTGCACGGTGTTCCTGTGGTATAAACATGGTCGTCAAGAACGTTACCCCTGCAACAGCAGAATAAAGCCCTTTAGACCTAAAAAGGGTTAAACTTACTTTGGCGAGTAACGACACACAACAAAGTAGAAAAGGCCAAAGCAGTTTTTGATACCACAGCCAATTTTGTTTGACTTTGCCCAGACCATCTGATATTACTGAGCTTAGTTTTACGGCAGCCTAATTATATTTTTCGTAATTACCTGTGACCATCTCAGGGGTGAAAGCGGCTTGTCCCTAAAATAAGGAATGAAGTGTGTTTCTTTATTCATGCCATTCCTCAAAATTTCCGTAAACCACTGATCGGCTGCCTGAAATATGATAGATGTACAAAAATCTCAAAAACAGTCTCCCACACTTAGGTGTGTACCTTATGCAGAGGTCTAATTTCGTGGTGTAAGAAATTGTTCCGCTTGAAAAAAAAACTTCAAAACTAACGAATCTCTTTGAGAAAATTGCTTTCTATCGAGTTGGTAGATGCTCTCCTCAATTTCACATTTAGCTGGCAACTCAGCCAGGAAAACTCCTTCGAGAAGCTCTAGATTGAATTCTACACAAACGTTACGATAGCTTTCATCACTGGTTTTTAACGTCGGACTACCGCCATAGAAGACAGTGCCCAAACATCTTGACAAATTATGAAAGGGAGAAGTACGAGGACAGACCGACATAAAGTTTGCAGTTAAAAGGAAAATTCTACTTGTTTACATTATGACTGTTTGTGCATTTTCATTCACGTCATTAGATAACTGAGCCCATTTATCTTTTATGAGGCAAATTTGAGATACGGAAAGCTAAATTTTTCTTCATCAAAAAGGAAGATTGCGACAGCAATAAAGTTAATGCATACAAAGTATACCATAAACATGCTGCATTTGCGCTGTTAAATTGTGGTACCCCATCTGGCAATCATTTAAAAGATCCTACTTAGCGTAACCACAGCATTAAAAGCACCGCCCACGAAGATTCTCGACTTCCACGTATTTGTCGTTTCGGGGCCTTCTCATGTCCCTTACTCCGATTACGAAGTTGAGAATCCGCAAAAATCGCATTCCCGCGTCCTCGTGCATCTTCGTTATTCCGCAGCGATTTTTTTGCCTTGGAAACGAAATTTTGAGCTGCTACTTGGGCATTTTCTTGATAGGAGGCCCTGATTTCAAAAGCTTAAGGCTTCTAACTTAGAGTGGACCATGCCTTTGACGTATACAAATTATCTTGAGAAAAGCTCACATTGGCCAAGAGTTGTCCATTAGTATATGTAGCACCGCTGGGTTCAATCACGGCTATATTCTCCCCATGTAATGGACGCTTAGCTTCAGGAGTTTGTGTAAGTGTGCACGAATCAGCCACGGTTTGAGCATCTGTCTCCAGATCACAATCGTAGTCCTATAAAGTGCAGAACTATGGCTATCAGCAACCACACATACCAAAAAATTACAATTTTTCTCATATTTCTCGCTTGCAATAGCTTCGTGCCACTTATTCCGTTATTGACAATTCCTTGGGCTACTTCTCTTCTGAAAAAAAGTACCGCCAGTTTGAATATGAATTAAATAATAACAGTTCTATTTGCAATTTTAGAGAGTGCGACCAATTGAGAAGTAGAGTGAAAGCTAGTCATCATGTAATGGCCATACAAAAATGAAGATTCTCTTCTTTAACGCTTTAAAAGTCATTCCCTATTGTAACCTTTGATCCAAGTGGCTTGGCGGCTGGAAAGCGGGGCTTTGTGACCTAATTAAGGCCGCTCGCGCCCGCCAAGCAATCTGCGTCTCTCTCAAGCGCGTGCTCTCTGATCACTGCCCAGCCCTAACTAGGTCACCAAGATCCGCCTTCCGGCCGCAAAGCCACTTGAAGCGAAGGGTAACCATAACGACAAGGACGTTTTCAACAGTGCAAAGCTAGCAAAACGACCATACTTAGCCTAATATGCTTGTAGTAGAGCCAAAATCTTACTTAGACATTTCTCTTCAACCTCACCCACAATTCCCAACCTTCCATTATATTTCGCCGGAAACAATGCTATAAAAGTTTGATTTCTCGAAACCAACCTTCTCATATTATGAAGTGCCACCATCAACATTCGTTCGCCCGCTTCAAGTGCAGTTCCAGAGCAGCTGTATTCTGCAAAACAAAGCTTTGTCTAAGTTGATGATTCCAACAACATGTAGGATGAACATACGAGCTCTTGCAAGTTGATGTAGACCCATGCACAGGAGTCCCTAAAAACGTTTTTTCAAAGGTTTTTTCTCAAAAAAAATTGAAATAAAAGCGTGTTTGTCACAGCTCAATGACACTATAATTGTCTTATAAGAGTGATGAAAGAAAAAATTGATTCCGATGATATTAGCGGCAAGAATTTTTCTCTCAAGGGTAAGAGGCACTTTTTGCATTACTCGGTACTTTATCTCCTGACAACCTTGGCAACGTTAACTTAAACTTAACTCAAGATTACCTCTTGAAAACTTTGTTTAGTGTTTTTCGTGCGTTTATACAATATTGAACCGAAGAATTTCTCCTGATAAAGTTCAGCGTTATTGTTCAGAAAAGAACGAACAAGGGCAATAAATTTGAAGAGATTTTGGCCCCACAAAACTTATGCATTAATTAAGAATGTGAGCAAAGTCTAGCGGAGGGCAGGAATTAATTGCAGAGGCATATAATTTAAAAATATGGTGCAAATTTAAAGGGATCACAGTTGCTAAGATACCAAATTCCAGCGGCTAAGAAAGAAGTTATAGAAAAGGAGCAAGAACTCAGACAATCCCAAATGACTTCCTGGATAACTGAACTTCTGAAACTTTCGGGGGGATCCTCATATTGGAGCTGCCAGGCAGAGCGGGGCCGACTTACGCGGCCGAGCCTCCCTCCGGGAGTTTTGAAAGCTCATTCCCCCCCCCCCTCCCAAAGTTATTTGCGATTGTCTGGGACTAGGCATCGTATGATTACCACATTCTTTGCATGCAAAAACTTCGCACATTTTCTCAGAGTGTAAGAGTTTGGCAGCAACATTTCACGTCAAAGAAACCGTTACCTTATGTTAGGTTGTGTAATAATTTCTGTCCCATTTTTTTGATTTTTTCTTAATAATTTGGGAGATGTTTGTCAAAATGTTCATATGTACTGCAAAGGTCAAAGCCTGCTCTACCAAACGCACCGCTTCAGTTTCCTTCATGAAAAGAAATGAAAGTGCTTTTCGGCATTGAGTTTGGAAAACCAACGAAGAAAAAATCCGTTTACAAAATAGCTCGAAAAATCTGCTGAGCGTAAGGAAAGAATACTGTAAGTTTTGCAGCGCTTCAAAAGCGCTTCAGAAGCTTCAAATCGCATTTCGAAATCTCGAGTATAGCCCTGAGCTTGATCTAGAACGGAGACTCTGAGAATTCAAACCGCAAGGAGTTCGTGAATTTGAATGTGAAACACATATTTTAGGAAAAAGAAGGAAATGCTGCATCGGATGATACCTTGTTTGCTAATCCCAAACTTTAAGTGTCATAAAGTGCCCAAGAATATATGTAGCTTGACTACATCAAAAAACAGTTCCACCAACTGGCTCTCAAAAAAAGAACCGGTAATTTGCACTTTGTTTTCATCTAATGTGACCAAAACTCAAAAGTTTAGAACAACGAAATCCCAAAAACTGGCAAACTCGGAGGGGTTGAAAACCATGGGTAAAATTTCGGGTGATTATTCTAATGACCACAAAAATAATCAGATCACAGACCGAAAAGAGGTAGAAAATCTACGTCGGACAGGCCTTAAAACGTTTGCCTAACTTTAATCCAAGTGTTTTTACATGACGTGATTGAAAATCGGATACAACTTTTGGAACGACCCAGTACATACCGCGAAATTTCTCATTTCACCACTCAAAAAATTTCTAAGAAGTTACGAAACTTACCAGGAAAAGCAAAGCAGACATTTCAGAGCTGTTTGTTGGAGGCACTTTCAGGGCTGCTTTTATAGAAGCGAAGGGGGCACTCGCTATTCACAGTACATTTAGATGTAAATTTTTCTGATCGGGAAATATACATGAACCTCTGATATGCATTGATGCAAAATGAATGTTTCTCATATGAGTCCTTTTCGATATCTGCCCATTGTTTGCGATCTACAAGAAATTATTCATACAATGAACAATGCAAAAACCAATAGAAGCGATAATTTTTCGATGGGCTATCAGTTATCAGTTCCTGTCGGCCCCTTTGTCGTTCATGTACACTTAAAATTTCAGAAACAACATAATCCTGCGAAGAAATTGAACCAAAGTCTGTGATTTATCTCTGTATACGGTATACTCACCGTAACATTACATTACTGTATCTCGTGACCGAATCACTCTAGCACGAGCTTGGCTTAGGTGTTCCAATCATATGCCAGAACCCCCGTGAATTTCCATCGTAAATTGGAAAAGATTGAGCTTCAGGAATCTTACGACCCACCAGTGGGCCGTATTGTGCAGTGTCAGGAGATGATCACTTTCGCGTTCAGGGGACCTACTGAGCAGTTAGGTACTTTTACGTAAACAGATGATTCTAACTTTCATCGAATTGAGGGATTGAGTCCGTTTCTTCCACCAACGTACTGACCATAAAAATTTGGAAGGTATTTCGCTTTGCTATAGTCTTCTTCCAGTCGACAAGGTCTATTAACATTATAATCAGATCGCTGGAACGACTTTTCTACTTGCGTCGTGGATTAGGGACAGAGCAGTGTGTGAGCGCCCACTTATCGGAATTTTACCTTAGAAGATGCAAATAACATGTTGTAGAGATATAGCAAACATGTGGTGATGCCTTACAATGGCAATCAGTTTCTGTCTACGTTTAGTACTCTTGCAGCATTTTCTTTCAAGCACGTGGAATCGAAACAATTCGAAACCAATCTTCAAAATCTCTCCTTACACACTGCATTGTTTTGTATTAGTGTATATTTCGAATCCTGAGATTTCTCCTCACAACCATTGCACCTTTGCTTCAAGAAGTTGGTGCATATCCTGGCGAACCGTTTCAAAATTTACAGTTGACAATTTCTAGACAACGATCACTCTCTCATTTCTTTCCATCACCCTCAGACATATTGCGGTCCATAAATATATAATTCCTTATTTTGTGTTTGGGACTTTGGAAAATTAGAAAGTGCCATGTGAAAGAGCATAGCCCGGATATGCAGAACAAGAAAATCTGTGCCGATCTAAAAGAAGAATTTTGCGTCTCAAACGAACTTTAGCTGTCCATCATTATATTACAAACCTCTCAAGCAATGCTCTTTTTCATTCGATCCCGCAGTATTTCTCACTCGAAAATACTTTGAAGTAGCAGTTGCAAAGCTGTAGTCATCTGCTTCACCCTGCACCGCTACACCCTGCACCCATGCCTGACGTTGGAGCCGAAGAAGCGTGAAAAAGTAGACCATCTGCTTGCAATATTAGAACCAATGTGTAGTCCGCGAAGCTACAGCATTCGACCCATACATGCCGCGACTTTTCGAACTGTTTTTTCAGCGTTCAAACCCATTTGTACTTTGTAATTTTGAAATTATGATAGAGAATTGCTGCTACAGTGTAATGCTAAATGGAAAAAAGATTTCCTCTCGTGATTGCCTGTACTAAATACTACGTTGTTGAAAGATTTGTCCGATTTGATTGCCTTAAGGTCAAAGTTATTAATATAGAGCATTCGTTCAACGCAATAGAATTGTATCCTAGAAACGCTTTTTTTTGTTCCTCTCGAATTTTATCAAATCTCGTTGAAATACCCCAATATGGGATTATGGGGTTTCAAAACTTAGAGCAAAGGTTGCCAAAATGCTGTCTAAATTAAACAAATTGTTTTTAGAAGGAAACTCAGCAGCGTCCAAGGATTCCTCAGTGTCGAATTTTATATCTGGTAAGAGTGTAATGGGCTAACATCTGCACATTTTTACTCTCAGATAGAAGTGTACTTTCTAGCTTTGTCTTCAAAAACCAAATCTTCTCTCCGCTATTAAGCATTAATCTACGCACAAAGATGATTTGCTTGTTATTGCTTACATCAGAGCAAAAGGGCAAGAGGGGATCAACAGCCCTTTTTTCGCCTGCGATGAACAAAATAAATTAAAATTTAGAAAGTCGGCATACCAGAGCGCAAGGAGGAGAATAGTGGCTCTTTTTCAAATCGCTCGCATAACTTCTTGAAGCAAAGATAAACAAACTTTCTCTAGCCACAATATAATCTTTGAAATAAAGGTTACTTAGACATGGTAACCAAACTTGTCATCCTTTTCTTGAATGGGAACATGACTAGGTCACTGTGATCTTGAAGAAAAATTCGTGCAATTTTACAATTTTCGCTTCTCTCTCACTTTCCTCTCTTAAATGTCACGCTATTTTTTTAGCAGCCCTTCCGCTTAATCCATTGAGGTTCGAATTAGTCAAAAATAGGAAGTTCTAACTTTTTGAATCAGAAAATCTGCAAGTAGGACAGAATTTTTGGAACAACCTGGTACTCCGGGGATAGCGATTATTTGGGAAAAACTG